AAGCCAAAATAAAATCACTGCGCTGTCTTTTTAATTTGGATACGAGAGGTCAAATGCAAACCACGCTCTTCCATTAATATGTAGACACGCGTAAACTGTCATTCTGACAAGGCTGTCGGGATATACATGCGTAATTCACTTTCATTGGTTGGTGTGTACTAAAAAACAAACATGTCACAAATTCGATTGTTGTACTCTTATTAGGTAATATATGACAATCTAAATAGTTGGTTAGTGGTTGAATCTGAAGTTAACAACAAATTTATTTTATTTTAAATTCGATTGTTGTACTTTCAACCATTTTATGGAATTAGCCCATAGTTTAGTTGAAAACCACTGGTCGTGCACACAGATTTAGAGGTATCAGTAGAGATGACAATTTTTTCCGTCCCACCCCGCATGGGACAAAAAAATCTGCTTCGAATGGGTTGACGTTTTTTTGTTTTGAATGCTTGCTTTGAATATTGATATAATTAGTTNAAATTTTTATTGACATTTTTTTGTTTCTAGTGCTTGCTTTAAATTTTGTTATAGTAAATTTGAACATTATTTGCTTTGGATTTTAAAATTTAAAATTTGTATTTTAACTAAAAAAAAAAAAACTAACGAATGGGACAGGAAAATGGGCTGGCTCGCACCCGCCCCGAACCACACCCCGCCGCGGAGCGAGGGAGTCTCGGGGCGGCTTGTCCCGTTGCCATCACTAGGTGTTAGGTGATTTACGTTATAAAAATGCTCGAATTTATACGGGGCTAGCAAGACAGAAACATAAATAAGGAGTTGTTCGAGCCTCATTTTTTTGAAATTTTATTTCTTCAAAATTCATTTTCAATGAAATAATATTACACTTAAATCGAATTTATTTTTAATTTTTAACCACACATTTTTCAAAAATTATTATTCAAAAACGTACTTTTCCTCTTTAAATGAGGCTCAAACAAGGGTTAAATATCAAGACTTGATCCAAGCCTACAACACGTATTGGCCTGAAGCCATGACTCACATGGGTCAATGACTTCTATACAAGAAAATTATTAGCATGTTTATCGCTTGTCCAAGGATATACTTGGTTTACTCATATTTCAAAATAATCTAAAAACATAGATTTCTTCGTTCATATTTCTTAAATCTTAACAATTATTTTGATAAAAAAATAAAGAAAATATAAAATCGTATGTATTATACAATATTGCTGTGTATAAAAGACTCTAGACCATGTTGAGACAATTTGGTTTTGGTATAGATTATTATTATTTTTTCTCTAATCTGTTTGATTGCAATAGTGGAATTTGAGTAGAAAGAAAATGAATTACAGGGAATTGAATTGGCTAAAATTATTTTTCTGAAAATTATCAATTAATTGTGTTTGATTTGTATAATTTTCAATCTGAAAAAATATTTGAAATTTTGGATCTTTTTGGTGTTCGTTTGACTTTGTTTTCTATGGAAATTGTCCATTAAAGAGAATTTTTTTTTTACAATTGTCCATAAAATTTATTTTTATTGCCAATTTTATTTTTTAAAAAAGAAGAAACTAGAAACCATTTTCCCACAAAAGTGGTGGGAAAACCAATTCAACAAAAAATGGAAAAATGGGACACGTGAGGGGTGGAAGAAAAATATTTTCCATGAAAAATTTTGACTATTAAACTTGCTAAAAGTGGGAAATCGAATTAAAATTCCATGAAAAAATGGCCTATCAAACAGACCATAACTTTCTCCCATGGAAGTATGTTTTAGACTGTGAATAAACTTGTCAACAAATACGTGTATACACTCAAATCCTGTCATGTTAAATCCACCAATGACCACCAAACTTTATATCTAGTGTTATCATGACAGCCAAATTTGATTTTTTTTTTATCATGACTACCTAATTTTATACTCAGTGTCACCATGACTACTCAATTTGATTTTATTTCACCATAACCTTTCAATTTCATATAACGTTTTATCATCGTCATTCAACTTCTTTTCACCATTTTCATTAATTTTTAAAGGGGTAAAACAACAAAATTGTATTATATAAAATAAATCCGAAAAATAATACAAAAATAAAAGTTTTTTTTTATTTTACAAACGTTTATTAAATAAGTTTTTATTTTATTTTTCTAATTAACGTTTTTTTTAAAATAACTTTTTATTTTATTTTATATTTTAAGGAACATTTTTTTAAATAACTTTTTATTTATTTTATTTTTCTAAGTGTTTTTTTTAAAAAAATAACTTTTTATTTTATTTTTAAGTAACATTTAAAAAAAAAAGTTTTATTTTATTTTTTGAAGTAACCTTTTTTAAAAATAATTTTTTATTTTATTTTATTTTTAAAATAAGTTTTTATTTTTAATTTGTTTTTTAAATTTATTTTATATATAATGCAAAGTTACCGTTTTACCATTTCTAAATTTAGTGAAAATTGTGAAAAAAAATTGAGTGATCTATATGAAATTGGTTGGCTACGATAATAAAATCAAATTTGGTGGGCATAGTAACATTAAATATATAATTGAGTGATTACGGTAAAACAAAATCAAATTGAATGATCCTGATACTAACGCCAATTTGTTTTAGATTGAAATCTAACTAAAATTTTAAGTCAAAATCAACAATTAATTTTAACTACATATTTCATGCGAATAACAACTTTTCAAACACATATTTAATCAATTTTTATCAAAATTTATTAAAAATTTAATTTTAATCTCTATGGGCTAAATATAAAGTTGAATACTTGAATAGTGGTGAATTTAACCCAACCCTGCCTCTGTCATCAACATCAACAAGAAGAAAACCACAATAAACACTCGAAGTGCAACTCCGCCACACTGCAACCATGAATAACACATTTTCCTCCCGACATTTTTGACTCCAATACTATTCCACTCCACATTAAAATATCTGCCCAGCGATTGTTGTTTTTCTCAATGCATCCTCTATATATCTAGCACTAGCCAGCGGGCACTCAAGAAAGAAGAGTCCTTACTCTTATTTCTCATTTTCATCTTCAGGGCTCAATTTTTTTAATGTATTCTGCAGTAGTTTGGTGAAGCTTGTTGAATTTGAGAGCCCAAAAATTGAAGGTTTTCCCATCTGGGGTTCTGTAATTTGTCGATGTAAACACAAAGTTTGGACCTTTTTGTGCATTTGAAGTTGAAAGCTCGTTTAGCAGGTATTCTTTAATCTTTTTGGATTTTTTGTGTTTATGGTTGTTAATGGTATAAAATTCTAGTTTTGATGATAGTGAATACCTGATTAGTTTCGAATTCACCGGATTTTTTTGCATGTTTTAGAACTTGATCTTGGAAGATGTTAAGTTTACATATAAGATTGAACGGACATTTGGGAGCATGGCAAGAAAAATCTAACAAAAGTTTTAAGTTTTGTGGTGTCCTATTGATGCGGGTAAAATAATTTCTTTTACTTGCTTAACTTGTCATTCTGTAAATTTCTGTTCATGCAAGTGATAGTGAAGTTATCTATGTTTTTTTCAATGAAGTATCAAAGGAATGTGTTGCATTTTTACTAAAGTGTTTCTATACATATAAAATTATGGGGTGTCAAGTATGTTTTTTCTTTTCTGTTTGAATCATACAAAGAAGTTTTAAATTATGACTCTTACTCTGGTGTGTTGGAACTTTTCTAATTAGGATTGCTATTTTAATTCTTGTTGCCACCATGACCTTATTGGACTTCGGATTGCGAGTTGCAACCATCTCAACATACCATTATCATCCATGAACATTACTTTATACCGGTCCTTGCTTAAATCATAAGCCTGCTAAAGCTCTTACTCAGCAGCATTATCAAATATCAAGCTCACTTTGATGTTGATTTTGAAATATGTGGAGCCTCATTCTAATGTTCTTACTCATATATAGCTCTTTCATTGAGGGTGAACCACTATAAATATGTGAGTTTCCTTTGTATTTTTATGATTTCTTCTTACTTATTATTGCCCTCAGAACTAGGGGTTAGGACCTATTCCATAAGAGTGGAGTCTGAGCTGTTTCGATACGTTCTAGACTCACATGTAAATGTAGGGAGAGTGGAGACCATATGACACTCCTAACCACTAGTGTAACGGCCAATACAAGTAACAGTGCTATGGTAATCCCAATGACTTGGGTAGTGTAGATATTGGATGATTGCTAATAACCTATGAGTAAAAAATGTTGTTTATGATTGATATGAGAGTACTATCTTGGTGTAAATTAAATGAGAAGATTTTGACTATATTTTTGACCATTTAAGTATCCTGTTCCCTTGTGTTGTTAAATGTAACTCGCTGGATGCTGATGAATCTCGTATACTCTTCCTTTTCTGGTTGTCTGCTTGATTGCATGCATTTAGTTCTATGATTATTTGATAGGCTTGAAGTTTCTGAGCCTTCCTGGTGTATGCTGATGTTCGTGAAGAATGTGCAGCAATTCTTTTCATACGAGATGACATGCTTAGTAAGTCAATCAAATCAAAGCTCCACGCGCATGTAAACTAATATATGCCATTTGCTAACCTGTTATCCTCTCCCTTTTCCAATTTTCAAGTAATTTTTAACTTCTGGTTGGACAATATGATTAATCCGTGGATATTGTGGTTCTTTTGACCCAAGATTGTTTTTGTTGATGCCACAGAGAAATTCGCAGTACACTACATGAATAGTTTTAGCATTTTGCAGTTAGAAATCTATTATAGAAAATAATTTTGGTATCAATTTTGTCACGATGTCTCCTTGTTACATGGCCTGATTTGCACTGATATCTGTCAACACAAAGAATCACAGTTTTTTCTTGATCAGCGATCTATTATAGTGTGACCTATTCCTCGTCATTTGGTTTCTGCTTCTGAATAACAAAAAACATAAAACAAATTTTCTTTCCAGGTGAATGAGTTCTTCAGTTATTTGTGTTTTATTTTTATAGAGGCTAAGACATTGTCGAACCAGACAGGTGTGACATACGAGAGTTTCATGGAGAGCTGCTTTCAGCTTGCATTTAGCTAAAATGAAGAACACACAGGTTCACATACTATCTGAAGCTCCATTACTTTTTTTCCTCATTTACGAGGGAAAAACACACTCTTTTTGAGAGTTTTGTTTTTCGTTCATGTGATAACCTTGGAGTTACTTCACAGTAACTTTTCTTTTCTATTTTGGGTTATTTTTCTCCTACGTAGTTCAGCCAATTAATCTTTCCCTGAATGATATGGCCTGTTTTTTTGGTGTATAAACTAATCATTAGGCTGCTCTTGGTTCTTTGATGTGTGAGGGGAGGGAAAAGCAAAAATAAAAGAAAAGGAAAATGTACGAGAATTGATATTCCTGCTTTTCCTCTCTTATAATAATAGAGATTAAATATTAATAATATCTTTATACAGTTGAAGTTATGCATGTAAGGAAAAATATTGTATAAATTTATATTTTTCTCCGTTTAATGTTGCTTTTTTTTTGTAGAACTAAAGACGAGAAAATATTTTCTCTGTCATCTTCCTTTAGTTTTCTTGCTGAAATCAAGTTCCAAAAGATCCTACGTCAAGACATTTAGTTGCTATAGTGTAGCTACAAAAAATCATATTTAAACATATAAATGTTTACCTGAATTGAATATGTGCATGTTATGAGTAGTCTTATTCTTTTTCTACTTCATTTGAAGCTATACTAAGTTAATTTTACTATCAGAAAGAGCCTTTTTTACAGGATCCACATAATGTGCTGGAAATAAAGCCTAACTCTCTGGTTTCTCACAATTCCCAAAGTGAACAACAAAACAATGAGATTCTTTTACCAGAATCTGGTTCATTTTCATCATCAAGCAACAAAAACAGAAAAGTTTCCCGTGAAGACATTGAACTGGTAAGACAATTGTTTCTTTACGTACTTTAGTATCTTCTTGGGATTATATAGTGAATTAACCTGCAAAACTGTAACTTGATTTATCATCGTAATCTGCTGTAGGTCCAGAATTTGATAGAACGATGTCTGCAATTGTATATGAATAAAGATGGGGTGGTAAAGACCCTATTGAATCGCGCTAGGATAGATCCTGGGTTTACAACGTTGGGTAGGTTTTATCAAGTAATCGAAAGATGTCTTCTACATCATTGCTATTTGTGTATTATCACTAGTAGCTGACGAGCTCATTATAATCCAATTACAACGCCAAAGTTATGTGTTTTTCGTTGCTTTCTGATCCCTGTCCTCTCTTAAAACAGTGTGGCAGAAATTAGAAGATGAAAATCCTGAGTTTTTCAGGGCTTACTACATAAGGCTTAAAATGAAAAAACAAATTATCTTGTTCAATCACTTGCTAGAGCATCAGTATCATCTAATGAAATATCCAATGCCTCCTAAGGTTTTGGCTCCAATGCACAATGGAAGTCATCCAATGCCAGGTAAGCTTTTCTGTCATTCATTTGAAGGGTACAATTAATTCTATTATTTAGAGCCCGTTTGGTTAACTAAAAATCAGATTCTTAGTAGATTTCGACAAAAGTTGATGAAATGTGTGGTTGAAAAGTTGATAAAAGTTGTGGGTCCCATGAAATTTGTGGTTGAAAATGAGTTTGAAGAAAAACTAGTTTTAGAAAATGGAGGCCAAACAAGGACTTAGTTTGAGATTTGGTACTGAGATTTTGTAATTGAGCCCTTATCTATTGAGGTCATAAAGATACCCACATAAAAAATCATTCCATTTGACAGTTATATCCTAACTGAAGTTTGTCCAAATTCTCATGTTGACATATGTCACCTTGTATGCATATGTTTCTCGATTGTTGTTCTTAAATAATCTACATGGATTTTATGGTTGTGCGGTTTCTATTGAGATAGTTGAATTGGTTGCATATGTCAGGTCCGCCTTTCTCTACTAAAATTCTTTTCTTTTTACTGTTTGTGAAATAGTAAACTTTGAAAACTTCGACACAAGGGTGGAAAACAGGGGATAAGTGATTTGATGGCAAGGTCATGATGTTTACAGCTGAACCTTGACATAGAACCAACTACTTGTTCTTTTTTGGTTATCATGGTCATAGAAATGCCATTCTTGTCCTGTTTCTCTCCCCCTCTCCCAATCCCTTCCCTCTCTCCCTCTGCTAATTGAAGAAAAAATATATATAGAGAGGAATGAGGTCAATGAAGGTCTAAAATTTATCTAAATATTTATGCATATTGAACTCAACGATTGATACCATATATCATCATTATTCAACGCCGCATGTTTTCAGTGCAGTTAATAACATACCCATGGGATACCCTGTCATACAACAGCCTCCGGTTCCTGCTACAGTGCAAGATCATCTTTGTTCTATGGGATATTCGACTTCTAGCTTGCATGTTGTTAATGGAGTTCCCGCTCCAGGCAATTTCCATCCAATGCAGATGAATTCTGGAAATGAGTGAGAATTGTTTTCATTTTGGCATTGGTTTACCTTTGATTTTCTACTTGATATCTGAAATTGATAGCTATAGTTGTTTCTTTGTCCCTCTAATTCCCTAAACCTTTTCTATTATTGTTACCATCAGATCGTGTTTGCCTATAAAAAGAAGTAATACTGACACAAAGTTTTTAGCATTACTTGACTGATACGAAATCATTTGCACACTGACTCTTCTTTTAACTATTGTCATTTATCTTCTCTTGGCAGTATGGTAATCGACACAAATGCAGCTGATCTGTCTCCCGCCATACCACCTAACAATGCCATGTCATCCATGTCAGATATGCTTGTGAGCCCCACATCAGCAGCATCCAGTGGCCATTTCCCATTCAGTGCATCAGAGATATCAGGCATGGGAGTCGAAACGTCAGGCCTTGCCACAGTATTTACCTCTGATGTGACAACTTCAGTAGGACTGCAGCTACCATCAGAAAATGGTGATGGAAATTCTAGAGACTCCGTTGAATCCTTGGCTCATATAACTTGGAATTTCAGTTTTACGGACTTAACAGCTGATTTATCGAACTTAGGAGGTATCTTTTCCAATAAAATCTGATCTAGTTCATTTGCCATTTTTATGCATATTGCTGTGAATGATTTGATTGCAACTTGGTTCAACTTTGTCGCACTTGTAAAAAGTAATAGGCATTGTAGGAGTTGGTAGGAAATTAAATATTTTTCTTGAAAAACTGTTGGGAAATACCTGGTGAGTTCTGCTTTACAAATGGTATTATCACAGCTCCCACAGTAAATTGTAGAGAAGCATTGCCAGAAGAAAGTTCGGTGTCCAGAAAATTGCTTATGAAAAAATAACTTAAATCAGGTAAAGGATTTATACTGTTTTGCTTTCATTTTACTTGAACAATTAGCCATGCAATAATTATATGATAAACTTCTAGTTTTTACTGTAAACAGAGATACATAGAATATTTATGGAAGAAAAATCATAAATATGGTGTAGTCATAACGTGTACCACATTGCAATTCTGATGACAAACATATATCTTCTATTTATTGTCTTACACATAACTTACCTCAACCCTTGAAAGGGTTGTCTCAGTTGAAATCCTCATAAATGTCATTTTCCATAGAAATAGTAATCCTCGATGCAGAAGAAAGAGTCCGGGTATTACTGAATATAGCCATTGAAATGCATTCAATCGTCTTTCACTTTACATGCACATGGATTCTGGGAAATACAAGTGAGGACTGGAAAGAAAAGACACACGAAAATGAGCCTAGTAAAGTAAGGCTAAGTTTTGTTGAATAATTATATAGCTGTTTTTATGTTACGACGGTTTGTGTAATCACTATAGATTGTATCCTATACAGAGTGTTCTGTAGCTGCTTTAATACAATGCATGTAAACTATTGCCTTCGTTCTCGATTTCCACTCCCTGCCCCTTTAGGTGCTGATGCTAAGTTTGTTGAGAACAAGACTTCTCTCTCCTTTAGATGTAATAGATGATTCCTGTTTCTTCAAAAATGTTTTCAGATCTAGGAGCTCTGGGAAACTATGACGGTTCACCATTTTTGCCTTCTGATTCAGATATTTTACTCGATTCTCCAGAGGCAGAGGATATAGGTAAGAAGTAAACAACTCTTTCCTTGCATTTTTAATTGAAATGGATGAAGTTTGAGAACATAAAAATGCGTGAAATTTGAATGAATTTCTTGGTATGCTATGTGCTTCACTGAAATTTTTATCACGTGAAGCACTTTTTGTGTTTTGTTACTCGTGTGATCTTATGAAGCTAATTTTCGCTGAAGAATAATTATTGCTCACACTAATAACTGTTCATTCACGAGAGGAGGCTTGCTGCCAGCAACGAACGCTAGGGACCTTTGAGCCCTAACTTTTGTAATTGTGTTTTAAAGACGTTAAAAATGTAGCCAAGGCCATTTAGTCCCTAGAATTATTAAGGTTTTTGGAGTAAAATCAGATGGATCCAAAATATATAGGCCAATTCAGTTGTCCTTTTTCCACTGCCTAGTTTCCCACTGAAGTGGAAATTCATTTGAAACCAGCTAAAACATTAATATCGTTGATTTTTGAAGAACTCAATGATGACATAATCCAATATGTGAAGAAACCTTGAACGTGCATCTTAAATAAATATATGGAAAACCAATATCTAGAAACAGGTGATGTAGCTGATCACTACACTTCTCACTTCAACAGGAACCTAGTCTACTGTTGTAAAAATACTCGTGCAATATCGGTAACATCATAACTTCTTGATGCTTGCCTGAACATGTTGTTACCATCGCTCATACTTGTGGCTTGACATTGTTTCAGTTGAGGACTTCTTTGCTGATTCTGTTCCTAGCCCCCCATGCCCACCGTCTGATGAGGAGAAGTCCTAGTATACGAACAACAAAAACACGGTCTTATTCTCAATAAATTTGGGATCAGCTACATGAATCATTTTGCGCCACACTGTTTTGTTGTTGTTAGATCTACTAGGAGATCTAGAGCAACTCAATTCTTAGCAATTACGACAAGCCAAGCAAAGTGGACAAATCCTTCTACGCCATTCCGTTTTGTTCGTTACTAAGTCTACATGGAGATTTAAAATAACTAAATTCTTAGCAACTACCACAGATCAATTGAAGAGATGTCCGAGCATGAGGTAAAATAGTCTCTTGAACTTGGGCAGTTTAGACTAGGATGAGGTTCTATTAAAGGCGAAGCATTAATTATCCAAAGCTTATGTGTTGACAAATTTAAGTGTCGCAACCTAGTTATGTTGTTGGCTCTTTTTTCGGTAGAAGAGTTATTAGTTCTGAGTTTATAATCTCCAAGAGCGAGATCTTTTCATGTTATGTTTTCTCGACGCAATAATATTTTTATATTTTGGATGTTCTGTCGTTTCGGTCTAGTTGGCATTTTATTACCATCTTACAGAAGTTTTGCAAAAATTCGAGTAAAATTGTTGAATTGTTTGTTTTTCCAGAAGCATATTTTTTTTAATTGTTATGAAGTTTTATTTTTGTTACATTAAAAAAATTGTATCCTCTGCCCTCTTGTTTTCTGTTCTAGAGGGCATCAAATGAGACTGTAAAATACCAAAACTTGAAACTATGGCCACAGTTCGAAGATGGCAAAGATAATTAGGACATGATTGAGTAGCAGCAGTACACAAATAATGTTGCTCGAGGTTGTACTATAAAAAGTACAAACCTAAACAGAGGAGAGTGAAAAGCATGTAATAATTACACCGATAAACCAATGTCCTATCGAATATTTAGCTGGTGACAACAACAAAGTGGGCAATTCTTCTGATGTAGGCCCTCAGATTGCTTCTTTGCTGGTTTTGTAAATTTCTTCAACGGCATTCTGCAGTTCAACATTAATCAAGTGTCGGCTATGGACATTTTTGGACATTTATACCAAATATTAAATGTAAGTGCAAATAAAACTCTGAAGTAAGTGCATTCATTATCATCATCGTAAACTATTTTCGATAATAAGATTGTTCTAAATACGAGGAAGAGTGAATCACTTACTAGGAATAAGCAAGGTTGAACAATGCATGTTTGATGACCCCGCTTGAAGAAATCTTTGTGGGATAGTTGTTTCAATTTTTGCATACCGAATTTACACACTAAATACCGGATTTAAAATTCATAACTTGATGCAAAATATCTTAAACACTATTTTTACAACAGTTACCGTATTTGACATTAGAACAGATTAAATTATATAACAAGTAATTGCAGCAAACAACTAGAAGAAAATTGCAGGTCAGTAATATGCAAAATGATCAACAATAAGTTATCAAAACAAACTGTTAAAGAAAAACTTTTAACTCGAGACCTGTGTTGCANGTTAAAGAAAATTTTTTAACCCGAGACCTGTGTTACACACGGTTTCCTTAAAACAGATTTGCCCTCTCACCGTACGTGCTTGAGGTATGATACGAGCGTCTGTCTCCCATGATACAACAGAGAAATCAGTAAAATTCGAGCACAACAAATTCTACTCCGGCGAAATGAACAAGTGTATGAAAAATATCACCACAGACTCGAATATAAATAGAAAATGCAGGAAAGCAGAAACTGTATACAGATGAATTTGCAGATGAAAAATTCATGTAGTGAACTATGGAAAAACGAGACACATATAAAGACTGGCTGCCCATTTATTTCATAGCAATTAAAACAGGAGTTTCAACAGTTTTGAAAAACCAAAAGTCTGTTGAAAATTAACAAAAATGTTTGCTCCTTTCGGTTCGACATTCGTGTACGTGGTCGCGCCAGCACACAAGTTCAAGGTTCGAAGCCTATTTCGGTCCAAGATTTGCACCCCCTGTGCGCGCACGTGGAGAGAGCCTCTATGCTACTCATGATTACACAATTCTAAAGTGTAATACTTTATAAAACGGTTTTAGTTTTCATCCACTTCCTATGTGGGACAAACCTTATTTTTAGTTTTCCCACCAACATAAACTCCTTTCAAATGGTATACCTTGAGTTTCAATTTCTCATTCACACCAAGTAAATATATGATTTCGATGCACTCACGGAGGAGAATACAAATCAACTTTCATCTTCCAAAATAGCCAATCGGGTCCCGCTCAAAATTAGCGCCAAAATCAGCCCACAACTCAATTTAATTCCAGTTTTTTCCAACAATCTTTTCTACTAAACTTGAAAATTTTCGACTTCCAACCCAATGAAACTGTTGTAGATTTAAATTTGCAAAGCCTTTTTGGTTGGGTAAAGCCACTCATCCAGGCCAAAAAACAGGAAACAAGTGGTGATGTGCAAGGAAATGTTTGGGTATTGTTTTTTTCTCTCTCTTTAAACTGTCCAATCCTACGACGACACGTGTCCTCCTTGGATTTAAGCCTGTTCCTGTAGCATTTTTCTGGTTGGTTTCACTCCTGTTGTTATGTGCGGAATTTTTGTTGGGGGTGGGATTTTCAAGAAACCTCAAAAAAGCATGCCAATACATATGAATCAAGGCTTAATAGCGCAAAACGTCCCTACGTTTGACCTTTATTGTGGAAAACGTCCCTACGTTCCATTTTTTTGCATTTTCGCCCTTATTTCAATGTTTCCTTGCGCTGAACGTCCTTTTTACTGATTTTCTAGATAAAATGACTAAAATACCCTTCTTTTAAAATAAAAGCGCAAAATAAATTGCAACTATATGCCCAAACGTTTTAAAAAGTGCCAAATAACCCAACCACTTCACCTTCTTCCCACACCTCATCCCCACTGCCGCCGGCGACTTCAAAGCCAAATTCGACCACCATACCACCGCCCAAACAACCGGATTTTTACACCACCAACACCTTCTCATCCCACTCTACAATCCTATACCAACAAAACGCTCCAACATCTCGAGATTTGGTAGAAATTGCAAGCCAAAAGACCCATCCCGAGAAGCCAAAAACACTGTGAATTCAGCCACTTCAAAGCCAAATTTCGGCGCCGTCGTCAATCCCCATGATAGCAGACCATCCACCCTAGTACAGCCTCTTCATGGCACATCTAATGCACCTATGGGTCATGGTCAATTTTGCCCAAAAATGGACGAACCAGCCTCGACAATTTGCGCACACAACGATCCCCTGTCAATTGAAGATTCTACAAGGCTTCAATCCACCAATTCGACCTTGATACCTTCAATTCAGGTTGTTAACACACTGTGTCATGAATTAATTGTACCAATTAATCATCCAATTGATCCAATTTGTGGGTTGAAAATCAAGATTTGCAGCTGTTTTCTTCTACAGCAAATTCGGCCCCTCCAAAGCCAAATTTCGACGCCGTCGTCAATCCCCATGATAGCGGACCACCCACCCTAGCACCAACTCTTCACGGCGCATCTAATGCACCTATGGGTCATGGTCAATTTTGCTCAAAAATGGATGAACCAACCTCGACAGTTCACGGTATTTTTGGCTTCGCGAGATGGGTCTTTTAGCTTGTATAGTTAAAGGATCTGTATGTGTAATTGCTTGATGGGGAAGTGTTTGTAGGTTGAAATCGCCGACGAGGGGAGCATTTTCCGGTGACGTAGGCGGCAGTGTGTGGTAGGTTGAGGAGGACCATCGGCGAAAATGGTGGTTTTTTTTTTTGCCTGAGATCCTTTCATTTTTGGACAGTTGGAGCGTTTTGTTGGTATAGGATTGTAGAGTGGGATGAGGAGGTGTTGGTGGTGTAAAAATCCGGTTGTTTGGGCGGTGGTATGGTGGTCGAATTTGGCTTTGAAGTCGCCGGCGGCAGTGGGGATGAGATGTGGGAAGAAGGTGAAGTGGTTGGGTTATTTGGCACTTTTTAAAACGTTTGGGCATATAGTTGCAATTTATTTTTCTCTTTTATTTAAAAAGAAGGGTATTTTAGTCATTTTACCTTGAAAATCAGTGAAAAGGACGTTCAGCGCAAGGAAACGTTGAAATAAGGGCGAAAATGCAAAAAAATGGAACGTAAGGACGTTTTCCACAATAAAGGTCAAACGTAGGGACGTTTTGCGCTATTAAGCCTATGAATCAACGTAGAACCTAAATGTATCTTGTTCAATACACGAGGAACTGAACACAGTACAATTGGCTTTAACTCTTTGATGTCATCAATCAACTGTTTAATGTCCTGAAGAAACATCATCAGGTTGGATTGTTTGTTAATATTATTAAGCAACAACAATAAATTATTATTCACTTGTGTACCTTATGCCAAAATCCAATTGAAGCACCTTTCGAGATAAATGGTTCCTCAATGACTCAATCAAATAAGTGCGCTAAAGGGAGATAGGACAAATATACATCCATCTCACTAAACTGTCAATGATAATACAACACACGTTTCAAACTAATCGTCACTTTTTGTAAAGGAACTCGAATTTTCGTAAATAAATTGTCAGTAGACGCAAGATTATGTAAGAGAGAAATGCTGCGTTAACCTCTTCATTCATGCTCTTCAGATGGTGATTCACTCCAGAAATGATAGAAAGGATACTCTCATTGGAAATCATTACTCCTTTTGGATCATGTTACGGGTCAGTAGATGGAAGTGACACGTGGCACCGTATTTTAGCGATGGGACCAGCTTAATCAAATCAGGACATATTTTCCTAGTTTCAGACGTGGGTTCCAAGGCCCTCACTATTATTCCGAGGCCACTACTGCTAACAATAAGCCACAGTTCGGTAAGCATACATCGTCCGAGACTCCTCAGCAGCCCTTGAAGACCCACATGCGAAGATCCGCTTATGATGGAGATCTTTTGAGAAAGATTGACGTGACTCTTATGTAAAGTTTATTTGTGTCTTGTCTTGTCAATGTAAGAACATTTAATATTTTGTAAAGTTAGGAGAGTCAATTTGATTGCTAGGATTTGATGTCTTGGCCGAGAAGATGAGGTCACGTGTAAATTGCTCCAAAGGTCACCATTTGAGTTGTAACACTAAAAATACCCACACCATGTAACACAAAAGGAACTAATGCAAAATTGAAGAGCAAACTGAATATTTTGGAGCAATAGTTCTCTCGCTTTAACAGTGATTTTTACAACAGATTTCTACTACAAATCGTCATTTATCGATTGGTTTCTTATACAATCGCATTACATTTTCTTGCCGGTAGCCTGAACGGAAACGTCT